TAATTCCGTAAGAGAAGAATGAATGCAGACGCCTAATATATTTAACCAATCACAATGAAGGGCATCAAATAAATTTGTCACCATCCCCATTACAATATTCATTGGAATAAAAAAAATATTACAACTGTTACCTGGATATAAGTCTGTCGTTATCTCCAATGACTCCCCATCCATAGGATGACTCCTCATTGCTGTTCACTCCTGCTGCTATTGCCACCAACAAAACAACTGCGAGGATCTTCATCTGGAATCAAAATGGTTGTTACAGAACTTCCTTACAGAACGACGTGGCATTTGCACAACTGTTTTCTTTTTTTTGAAGAAAATGTTGGTCCCTCGCACTTCACCAAAAACTGAAGTGAAAACTCCACAAAACAACTTACCTTTTTCATCGAATCAAGAAGATCAAACGTGAATCGGACTTCGTGTTTCTTCGATTACTCCTTGATACTGTGATGGGAACACTATTTATAAAGAATCAGTGACTGGTATTTATCTATGTTATCACTTGTAATCTTTTAATACTTTAGGCTTTAAGTTTGTTTTTGTTGATGTATCATTGTGATAAAATCGAGTAGTCACTAAAGGTTCAGAAAAAAGGAGGATGTAGGTAAATTGTGTACGTAGTATTTATATATAAGTATAGCCATACTTTATAAATACGTGTGCACAAGATATGATTATAACGCAGGAGGCTTTGATTGTTTGTTTCACAATTACTAAGTTGACTTTTTACAGAAATAAATGTGATGGCTGTACTCATTTTGGTCAATTTTTTTTCATTCCATCGTACCTAAATTCAATCAAGACTAGAGTTCAAAGTTAAATTTTTATAATCTTTATTGCGTTTATCTCTCTTATGGGTTGAGTGACTTGTAACAGACCATCAGAGCGATGAACGTCGTCAACTTGGCGATCGCTTTAACGTAAAGCAAACTCGCACTAGACGAGAACTCACTCTCTCATACATATGTAGTGACAAAGGCTTCAGACAATTTTATCGCCTTGTGTAAGAGTTCGGAATACTCTTCCTATCTAGCTGCCTACTAGAGATATGTCCTCTCAAGGCTAATAAGACATACATTTCTATGACACGCCTTCAACCTTTACCATTGAATAGCGAACCTTGGGACTCTCAAAAATCTATTTAAAAATACAAAAACAACACAAGAGAAACCGGTAGTTTCCAACGAGTCAAATGGCGTAAAATCTAACAATGAAATATGATTATATTTTAATCATTCATTCATTGAACCTGTTGATCAGATAAATTAGTTTTAGCCTCGGAAACTACGCATTATTTGGCAATTTTACGCGAGCGAAGCCAAGGACCAAAATCTTCTTGTGGAGGCGGCTTGGTGATTGCAAGTGGGTTAAAATCCCTGAGTGGGAGTTCGCTGTTTCAGAATTATACCGGAAAATGTCAGTGGCAAATCACAATATGTAATCATTAGGCAAACACCTGGATGCGATGAGATAAGAGATAGGAGTATTAAAATGATAGCTGTTTAATCTTATCTTGTTGACAAATACCGCATTAATTTTGTGTATAAATACTTAATGAAGGAAGTCGTATGGATTACATTATAGGATTAAATTCGGTGACACCACGTTTCGGAGCCCAACAGCTAAGGTAAATATAACGTAAATATAATATATAAATATACAAATATAAAGTAAATATAATGATAAATATTCACATTTCTTAATCTACACAAACGATTTCATCAATAAAATTATTTGATTTTGAATCCAAGAAAGAAAACAATAACAATGATATAATTATTCCATTTCAGATGAAGACTGTTTTGTTGATAGCATTGCTAGCAGTTACCTATGTGTATGCAACTGTAGATTTTTCTGAAGCTGAGTTTAGAAGACCAGAACTAAATGCGTCAAATCTACGCTTGATCTTAGGATCAAAGAGTGGCAGTGATGAGAGGCTTTTGTCCAGGTAAGTTTATAATTCAACAACAAGATTCTCACCATCAGCACTCTTCTTCCGTGTTTGAGCCATGCTTTGGCACGAATGGGTCGGTTCAACCGGAGTGATACCACGGCCTCCCAGAAATCCGGCATTAACTAAACTTACATTACGTGTGAGTGAGGTTGCCGGTGGCCCAACTCTTCCCAAAATAATTTCACTGAGAAATTTATCCAATTGCCTTAAAACTAGCTAACTATAGAGATTTTCAAGAATAATTCATGTGACCTCTTTTCCATAAAATAATTTATTATATTTTTTTTTAAAGATTCTCTTTGATTGATTCTTCTTTCATAACTTTACTATTTCCAGGACATATCACTATGTGGAGGGATCACATAGGATCGCTCACAGACAAGAAATACTTATACGCTTGGTCGACTACGCCAGAATTACGAGGGTTGAGGGCTGGCCCGGTAATCCAGATCTAGAACTGACCGTCTTAGAAGGAGGTTTTGGACAAAATTTTGTCAAACTAGGTTATGTTACTGAAGAAAATACGTTTTTCTCTTACACACTTGATGTATACGGTGTGCTGGTATGCGATGATTAAAATAACTGTTTCTAATAAAAAAACTTGTTAAAATACTGTTTGTTGTATTATTTTGGTAAAGGAGTGCTATTTTGCACTGATTGTTGATGAACTGGACGTACGACAACGCAAAGAGCCAAGGATGCTCTTTATATAATTATACTATATTTCGTTTACTCTTCTACTTTTTCCCGCCTTTTATTACGTCATTTTCAGTTCATGTGTGCAAGCCACAACAAACATCGCTGATCTTTATAACATCGCCATTCTCTACAATGTCCTTCACATCGTACTTATTTCCTTCCACCATCAGTTTTTAATCTTGATACAAACTATTTGTCACTGGAAGGCGCCCTCTATGCATATTGCTCCACGACAGTGGAGCAGATCGTGGAGTATGTCCGATCCAAGACCAACTGGACCTTGAGGGTGGCGAAGTTGGAGTCGCGCCACAATACGAACTTTAATTCGTTCATGGTGCGAGTTCCAACTCATCACGTCGAGACATTCTTCAAGGAAGAGTTTTGGCCGAAGGGTGTCGTATATCGTAGGTTCCGAGGATGGCTACGCGACACCACGCAGCGTAACACGACGCCGACACTTCGTGTGCATTAGTTTTTAAGTTTTTTATGTAACATATATTATGTATTAGTTTATGATTTAATGTTATAATATATTTATGTAGTGTATTCTCTATGGGGCTCAGATGCCTGACTTAAATAAATAAAAAAAAAAAAAAATTATGACAACAAGCAATGTGTGTACCGCGGCCTTGGCCCGGAGCTGCAGAACGAAAGCGATGGGTTTTTGTCAGTTAAAGTCTGACACTGCCTCTCAACCCACTCGGGGAAAGTCATTTGAATATACATAGACCGACCTCAAAAAAAGTTGCTCGGTTCACTAAGCGCCGTACCCTTGGGTCTGATTCTGGTCGGGTAGCAAGATACCCTTGCTCGCCATCCACAGACCTTTGCTTACGGTTACCAGGGATCGTCACGCGATCCTCGACGCCCAGACTTTCTCCTACGGATTTATGCTTGAGGCTTACCGGAAAGAACTTTTTTATTTTCAGTTTAATATTAATTATTATAGGTACATTAGTATTTCGTTGTTGAATAGGCACAAAATGTATCAAACAAAATTAAATTTTAACTTGATTACCTAGTAAAAGGAGCAGCAGTAATCGCTCATTATTTTAGTAATAAGAGACGTATTACATTATACTTATTATGTATGAAGCTAAAGTAAATTTTTATACACTTGCAAAGTTTCGAATCCAGTTCAAGTTGAACTGTATCTGTATTTATGACTATTTGGGTGCACACATTAAGAGTAGGAGAGCTAAGCATCAGCACGACCGGCCTTATGGACAACGCTCGGAAGCAAGGCTTTTTTGGGAGGGTGGATGACTTAAAAACCACCCCTTTCCTTCTCCCGCCCCAGGACGGGGCCAGAGGGGAGCTACCAGAGTCTCCACACTTCCCCATCTTATATATATAATAAATTGCCGGCTGATGTCCCATTTCACTTATATTAAAATTGTTGAACGTGCCTCTGCGAGTTGGCTTCGGCTCCTCGTACGCCTTCCAAAGGCCCGGGACCCTGTGGTCCCGTGAAAGGAAAGAAGAGACAAAATAATAATAATTTATTTCATTATCAACAGGTTGTTAACAAATACATTTCAGAGATCTACTTTTAAGTATAACAATACTTGTGCCAAAAGACAGCCCTCTTCCATATTTCTAAAAAGTAGTTACAAAGCCTGTTAATTCCATAAATAAAACTAAGTACAGATTAAATTTAAAACAAAATAGTTAAAGTACGGCGTTTTTTATGTGTGTGTGTGTGTGTGTGTGTGTGTGTGTGTGTGTGTGTGTGTGTATGTGTATGTGTGTGTGTGTGTGTGTGTGTGTGTGTGTGTGTGTGTGTGTGTGTGTGTGTGTAGTGTGTGGGTGTGGGTGTGTGTGTGTTTGTGCTAATATATTCATGCATAACTTCAAGACTGCTCCGCTTACTAAAGGCACACTTCTATGCGAGATTCAAGCACAAGATACATTTTATAAGATTCTCAATGAAGGATATTAAAACTATTAAAAGTAATATGAAATGAGGAAGGTCTCTAGGACTTGATGGTTCAAGTGTTGAACATAAGTGATATATGCTTGTGTGCTATAGGCATCTAATTAAATAGTGCGCAGTTTGGGTTCAAACCCTGACTGTCCACCGAAAGTGCAACTTGATCTGTCAAAAGCCTTTGACTTGGTAAATAACGACATTTTGGATTTTGGAGATGAACCGCACCACTCACTGTAACTAAACTGGAGTAAAGGAAAATTGCTTTTATGTTGCATTTCCATGCCAAAGCCATGACAGTGTAGGTATTACAATGTTCAAACGGTATTTCACTCATATGTAATAGGCTGACAAGTAAGTTAACGGGTCACTTGATGCGATCGGCGCCGTAGCACTTCAAATACCAGAGGTATGACGACTTGCACCTACATTGCCGCACGCATTGAAAGGAGATTTGAGGATTTCCGAATTATTAAGGTAAGTAACTAACGCACTTAATTTTAACAATCATTTATTTAATTATTATGACAGTTTACAGTTGCGAAGATGTCGATCCGACAACCGAAGCCCCCTGATCTTGGGCTTCTGAGACCTAAAGTGACGTAATTTTCATTTAAGCCGCCATCCAGTAAAACTACTTGAGTAGTGTTGCCATAGTTCGACGAAACCCTTATGCTGCTAATGTTGGTATACTGATTTCCCCGGTAAGTCAGTTCTTGTTCGTTGATGAGGTATGGTAAATCGTATGCTTCGTGATATGTACTGAAATCAATAAAAACACATTGAACTGTTTCGTTGTTCATTGACGGACAGTCATTCCGAAAACTAGTCTTAAAAGAAGCACGAAAACGCTACGAATACTTTTAATATAAAGAACTGGACACGTTCGTAAATTTAAAACAGTACCACATACTAAAATAATCATACACTACGACGACGCTTAGATATTTTACAAAATGCTACCATCGTCTAGAAAGTTCCACGATGGCTAGGGTTGTCAAAGACGGTTTTGTAAGTCACACGTTTACAATTAAAGATTTGTACTCAGTTACTAATAGTAACATTATAAGGCAAAATATCAAATGACTTCTCCTGCTCAAGGTCAAGGCTGCGATACCTATTCCCCCAATCCTCATACTCTCTCGTAGACTCTACTGGATTGGAATGACAATAATCTCGCTCCCACAGCAAAACACAACTTATGAGTTGTTTCATTTCGGTCACACTATAAGCATATAAAACGAATTTGCCCGGTGGATTTTTTTTACCCGGTGTAAGTATTTAATTCCGTAAGAGAAGAATGAATGGACACGCCTAATATATTAAACCAATCACAATGACGGGCTACAAATAAATTTGTCACCATCCCCATTACAATAACCATTGGAATAAAAAATATTACAACTGTTACCTGGATATTAGTCTGTCGTTATCTCCAATGACTCCCCATCCATAGGATGACTCCTCATTGCTGTACACTCCTCCTGCTAATGCCACCAACAAAACAACTGCGAGGATCTTCATCTGGAATCGAAATGGTTGTTACAGAACGACGCGGCATTTGCAGAACTGTTTTCTTTTCTTTGAAGAAAATGTTGGTCCCTCGCACTTCACCAAAAACTGAAGTGAAAACTCCACAAAACAACTTACCTTTTTCTTCGAATCAAGAAGATCAAACGTGAATCGGACTTCGTGTTTCTTCGATTACTCCTTTATACTGTGATGGGAACACTATTTATAAAGAATCAGTGACTGGTATTTATCTATGTTATCACTTGTAATCTTTTAATACTTTAGGCTTTAAGTTTGTTTTTGTTGATGTATCATTGTGATAAAATCGAGTAGTCACTAAAGGTTCAGAAAAAAGGAGGATGTAGGTAAATTGTGTACGTAGTATTTATATATAAGTATAGCCATACTTTAAAAATACGTGTGCACAAGATATGATTATAACGCAGGAGGCTTTGATTGTTTGTTTCACAATTACTAAGTTGACTTTTTACAGAAATAAATGTGATGGCTGTACTCAATTCTATGAATTCTAAGCATATGGAATAATAATTTTGGTCATTTTATTTTCATTCCGTCGTACCTAAATTCAATTAAGACAAGAGTTCAAAGTTCAATTTTTAAAACCTTTTTTGGGTTTACCTCTCTTATGGGTTGAGTGACTTGTAACAGACCATCAGAGCGATGAACGTCGTCAACTTGTTGATCGCTTTAACGTAAAGCAAACTCGCACTAGACGAGAACTCACTCTCTCATACATATGTAGTGACAAAGGCTTAAGACAAGTTTATCGCCTTGTGTAAGAGTTCGGAATACTCTTCCTATCTAGCTGCCTACTAGAGATATGTCCTCTCAAGGCCAATAAGACATACATTTCTATGACACGCCTTCAACCTTTACCATTGAATAGCGAACCTTGGGACTCTCAAAAACCTATTTAAAAATACAAAAACAACACAAGAGAAACCGGTAGTTTCCAACTAGTCAAATGGCGTAAAATCTAACAATGAAATATGATTATATTTTAATCATTCATTCATTGAACCTGTTGATCAGATAAATTAGTTTTAGCCTCGGAAACTACGCATTATTTGGCAATTTTACGCGAGCGAAGCCAAGGACCAAAATCTGGTTGTGGAGGGGGCTTGGTGATTGCAAGTGGGTTAAAATCCCTCAGTGGGAGTTCGCTGTTTCAGAATTATACCGGAAGATGTCAGTGGCAAATCACAATATGTAATCATTAGGCAAACACCTGGATGCGATGAGATAAGAGATAGGAGTATTAAAATGATAGCTGTTTAATCTTATCTTGTTGACAAATACCGCATTAATTTTGTGTATAAATACTTAATGAAGGAAGTTGTATGGATTACATTATAGGATTAAATTCGGTGACACAACGTTTCGGAGCCCAACAGCTGAGGTACTGTACAAATATAAAGTAAATATAATGACAATTATACACATTTCTTAATCTGCACAAACGATTTCATCAAGAAAATTATTTGATTTTGAATCCAAGAAAGAAAACAATAATAATGATATAATTATTCCATTCCAGATGAAGAGTGTTTTGTTGATAGCATTGCTAGCAGTTACCTATGTGTATGCAACTGTAGATCTTCCTGAAGCTGAATTTAGAAGACCAGAAGTAAATGCGTCAAATCTACGCTTGATCTTAGGATCAAAGAGTGGCAGTGATGAGAGGCTTTTGTCCAGGTAAGTTTATAATTCATCAACAAGATCCTCACTATCCGACTACACAGATGAGCATTGCTCAGATATTGTTTTTACGTTAAATAGCACTCTTATTTGTCTTATCTTGTGTTATAAAAACTTACACTATAAAGTAGTAGATATTATTTAATAAGTGTGGGAGGGTAATGCTTCGGCACTAATGGGCCGGCTCAAGTCGAGGAGTGATCCACGGCCTCACAGAAAACCAGCGTGAAGCAACACTTACCTTACTCACACTGCGAAACACAATTGTTTCGCAGTGTGAGTAAGGTTGCCGGAGGCCCAATTCTTCCCAAATAATTCCACTGAGAAATCTACCCAATTGCCTTGACACTCTACAGATTTTCTAGAATAATTCTTGTGACCTTTGTTTCCATTAAATAATTTATTATAATTTTTTGAAAGATTCTCTGTTTGATGGATTCTGCTCTTTACATTACTTAATTATTATTTCCAGGACATATCACTATGTTGAGGGATCACATAGGATCGCTCACAGACAAGAAATACTTATACGCTTGGTCGACTACGCCAGAATCACAAGAGTTGAGGGCTGGCCCGGTAATCCGGATCTAGAACTTACCGTCTTAGAAGGAGGTTTTGGACAAAATTTCGTCAAACTAGGTTATGTTACTGAAGAAAATACGTTTTTCTCTTACACACTTGATGTATACGGTGTGCTGGTATGCGATGATTAAAATAACTGTATCTAATAAAAAAATCTTGCTAAAATACTGTTTGTTGTATTATTTTGGTCAAGGAGTGCTATTTTGCACTGATTGTTGATGAACTGGACGTACGACAGCGCAAAGAGCCAAGGACGCTCTTTTTATAATTTTATTTCGTTTACTCGTCTACCTAGCCTTTTATTACCTCGTTTTTAGTTCATGTGTGCAAGCCACAACAAACATCTCTGATCCTTATAACATCGTCAGTCACTACAATGTCCTTCACATCGTACTTATTTCCTTCCACCAACAGTTCATAATCTCGATACAAGCTATTTGTCACTGGAAGGCGCCCTCCATGCATTATGGCAGCAAGCAATCTGTGTACCCTGGCCCGGAGCAAGAGAACGAAAGCGATGGTTTTTTGTCAGATAAAGTCTTACACTTCCTCTCACCTCATCCGGGGCGGGAGAAGTCATTTGAATTACATTTACTGGCCTCAAAAAAAAGTTGCTCGAATCGCTAAGCGCCGTACTCTCGGGTCTGATTCTGTCGCCCTTGCTCGCCATCCGCAGTCTCCGCAGACCTGCACTTACGGTTACCATGGATCGTAACGCGAACAACGACGCCCACACTTTCTCCTACGATTTTATGCTTGCGGCTTACCGGAAAGAACTTTTTATTTTCAGTTTACTTTGCATACAATAATTATAGGTACATTAGTATTTCGTTAATGGATAGGCACAAAATGTATCAAACAAAATGAAATTTTAAATTGGTTTACTAATAAAAAGAGCAACAGTAATCGCTCATTATTTTAGTAATAGGAGACGTATTCCATATTACTTATTATGCTTGAAGCTAAAGTTAATTTTTATACACTTGTAATGTTTCGAATCCAGTTATAGTTGAACTGTGTCGATATTTATGACTATTTGGGTGCACCTGTTTATGAGGTGACTTTGCTGTACCGATATTTTGGTATTGCAGTTACATTAAGAGTAGGAGAGCCAAGCATCAGCAAGAGTGGCCTTATAGACAACGCGCGGAAGCAAAGCTTTTTGGGAGGGGGGAAGACGTAAAAACCACCTCTTTCCTTCTCCCGCCCCAGGACGAAGTATTCGCCCCAGGTGAATAGAGCTACCAGAGTCCCCACACTTCCCCATCTTATGTATATAGTATAGCTAATATATTCATGCATAACTTCAAGACTGCTCCGCTTACTAAAGGCACTATTGTGCAAAGTTCTCAATCCCCGTGTGAAGGTGATACTCACAAGATACATTATATAAGATTCTCAATGAAGGATATTAAAACTATTTAATGTAATATGAAATGAGGTAGGTCTCTAGGACTTGATGGTTCAAGTGTGTGCTGGTGTGTTATAGGCAGCTTATTAAGTGATGCGCAGTTAGGGTTCAAACCCTGACTGTCCACCGAAAGTGCAACTTGATCTGTCAAAAGCCTTTGACTTGGTAAATTATGACATTTTGGATTTGGGAGCTGAGCAGCACAACTTACTGTAACTAAACTCGAGTAAAGGAAATTTGGTTTTATGTTGCATTTCTGTTGTTACTAAAAGCCATGACAGTGTAGGTATTACAATGTTTTACACGTTATTCCACTTGTATGTGATAGGCTGACAAGTAAGTTAACGGGTCACCTGATGCGATCGGTGCCGTAGTACTTACTTCAAATACGAGAGGTATGACGACTTGCACTGACGTATTTGAGGGTTGGGAACTATTAAGGAAAGTAATTAACACATTCAAATTTAACAATCGTTTATTTAATTATTATGACAGTTTACAGTTGCGAAGATGTCGATCCGACAACCGAAGCCCCCTGATCTTGGGCTTCTGAGACCTAAAGTGACGTAATTTTCATTTATGCCGCCATCCAGTAAAACTACTTGAGTAGTGTTTCCATAGTTCGACGAAACCCTTATGCTGCTAATGTTGGTATACTGATTTCCCCGGTAAGTCAGTTCTTGTTCGTTGATGAGGTATGGTAAATCGTATGCCTCGTGATATGTACTGAAATCAATAAAAACACATTGAACTGTTTCGTTGTTCATTGCCGGACAGACATTCCGAAAACTAGTCTTAAAAGAAGCACGAAAACGCTTCCAATACTTTTAATATAAAGAACTGGACACGTTCGTAAATTAAAAACAGTACCACACACTAAAATAATCATACATAACGACGACACATAGATATTTTACAAAATGCTACCATCGTCTAGAAAGTTCCACGATGGCTAGTGTTGTTAAAGACGGTTTTGGAAGTCACACGTTTACAATTAAACATTTGTACTCAGTTACTAATAGTTACATTATAAGGCAAAATATCAAATGACTTCTCCTGCTCAAGGCCAAGGCTGCGATACCTATTCACCCATTCCTCATACTCTCTCGTACTCTCTACTGGATTGGAATGACAATAATCTCACTCACACAGCAAAACACAACTTATGAGTTGTTTCATTTCAGTCACATTATAAGCATATAAAACGAATTTCAGTTAAGCTGTGGGAGGTAGTTTCGTCTCAGCTCGGTGTAACTATTTAATTCCGTAAGAGAAGAATGAATGGAGACGCCTAATATATTTAACCAATCACAATGACAGGCATCAAATAAATTTGTCACAATCCCCATTACAATAATCATTGGAATAAAAAATATTACAACTGTTACCTGGATATTAGTCTGTCGTTATCTCCAATGACTCCCCATCCATAGGATGACTCCTCATTGCTGTACACTCCTCCTGCTAATGCCACCAACAAAACAACTGCGAGGATCTTCATCTGGAATCAAAATGGTTGTTACAGAACTTCCTTACAGAACGACGTGGCATTTGCAGAACAGTTTTCTTTTTTTTGAAGAAAATGTTGGTCCCTCGCACTTCACCAAAAACTGAAGTGAAAACTCCACAAAACAACTTACCTTTTTCTTCGAATCAAGAAGGTCAAACGTGAATCGGACTTCGTGTTTCTTCGATTACTCCTTGATACTGTGATGGGAACACTATTTATAAAGAATCAGTGACTGGTATTTATCTATGTTATCAATTGTAATCTTTTAATACCTTTAGCTTTATGTTTGTTTTTATTGATGTATCATTGTGATAAAATCGAGTAGTCACTAAATAGGTTCAGAAAAGCAGAGGATGTAGGTAAATTGTGCACACGTTGTATGAATACATTTAAGGCATGCTTTATAAATACGTGTGCAAAAGATATCTCTATAACGTTGGAGGTTTGGTTGTTTGTTTCACAATTACTAGATGGATTTCTAACATAAATTAATTGTGACTGTGCTCATTTCTTCTAGCGTATAACTTTGGATTATTCTGACTTAATATGTACCAACCACTACATAGTTAAATTCAATCATGACCAGAGTTTCAAATGCAATTTAAGTTAACCAATCGAATCGTTTCTGCGTTTAGCTCTCTGATTGGTTGGGTAACTCGTAAAAGACCAATCAGAGTTCCGAACGTCATCAACCCGTCGATCGCCTCGAATATACTTCCTATCTAGCTGCCTACTCCAGATATGTCCTTTCGACGCGCCTTCAACCTTTACCACTGAATAGCAAACCTTAAGGCATTGCGAAATCCATTTTTAAAAACACTACACAAGTGAATCCGGTAGTTTCCAACTAGTCAAATGGCGTAAAATCTATCAATGAAATATGATTATATTTTAATCTTTCATTCATGTACCTACTGATAAGATAAAATAATTTATTTTTGGCCTAGGAAACTACCTATTCTACGGAAATTTTACGCGAGCAAAGCCAAGGACAGGAAACTTGTTGTAAAGGAAGCCGCCTTTGCGGTGATTGCAATTGGGTCAAAATCCCTCAGTGGGAGTTCGCAGTTTCAGGAATGATACAGAAAAATGACAATGGAAAATTATAATATGTAATCATTAGGTAACCACCTGGATACGATGAGATAAGAGATATGAGTATTAAAATGATAGCTGTTTAATCTTATCCTGTTGACAGATACCGCATTAATTTTGTGTATAAATACTTAATGAAGGCAGTCGTATGGATTACAGTACAGGATTAATTTCAGTGACACAACGTTTCGGAGCCCAACAGCTAAGGTACTGTACAAATATGAAGTAAATTAAATATTAAAGATACACATTTCTTACTCTACATAAATTATTTTATGAATAAAATGATTTAATTTTGAATCCATAAATGAGAAACCATAATAATGAAATAATTATTCCGTTTCAGATGAAGAGTGTTTTGTTGATAGCATTGCTAGCAGTTACCTATGTGTATGCAACTGTAGATCTTCCTGAAGCTGAGTTTAGAAGACCAGAAGTAAATGCGTCAAATCTACGCTTGATCTTAGGATCAAAGAGTGTCGGTGATGACAGACTTTTGTCCAAGTAAGTTTATAATTCTACAAAAAGTCATTTTTACGTTAAATAGCACTCTTATTTGTCTTGTGTTATATATCCCACACTGTAAACGTGTTGTTATTATTTAATAAGTGTGAGAGAGTGAAAAGTGTCGGAGATTCAAGCTCCGGCACGAAAGGGCTCGATCGGAGTGATGCCACGGCCTCCCAGAAAACAGCGTGAAGCCATACTTACATTGTGTTTCACCGTCTGAGAGGTTGCCGGAGGCCCAATTCTTCCCAAAATAAATTGACTGAGGAATCTCTTCAATTGGCTTGAACCTAGTAGAGATTTTGTTGAATAATTCATGTGACCTTTCTTTTCCATTTTCCGTTTGATTGATTCTGCTTTTAACATTACTTAACTAGGTATTATTTCCAGGACATATCACTATGTTGAGAGATCACATAGGATCGCTCACAGACAAGAAATACTTATACGCTTGGTGGACTACGCCAGAATTACAAGAGTTGAGGGCTGGCCCGGTAATCCGGATCTAGGACTGACCGTCTTAGAAGGAGGTTTTGGACAAAATTTCGTCAAACTAGGTTATGTTACTGAAGAAAATATGGATTTCTCTTACACAATTGATGTATACGGTGTGCTAGTATGCGATGATTAAATAAAATAAGTATATCTAATAAACAAAATCTTTTTACAATATTTTTTGTATTACTTTGATCAATGAGTCATATTGGTGATATTGATGTAATTTAGCACTGATCATTGTTGAACTGCAGAGAGCCAAAGACGCTCATTCAATAATTTTATTTCCTTAACTCTTCTACTACCCCTTGCCACTTATAACCTCAGTTTTAGTTCATGTGTGGAAGCCACAACAATAAATTTTCATTCTTTTGGTACCTACAACAATTTGTTTTTATAACCGACGAAGGTTTAGACGAGTGTAGTTAAACATATGTTGTTTGTCTTGGAAGTATTTAGAGTTAGGAGATTACTATCTAGCCAGGTTGAAATCTTAGCAAGACCCTTTTCGGCAAGAATATTGACGATATACCATGTTTTGCCACTGAAAACAATGGCAGTGTCATCAGCGTATTAAAATTTTTACTGCCGTCAGCTTTCATGTCAAAGAGGCTATTTATATAAATCAGAAACAAGGTCGGGCCGATTACTGTACCTTGTTCGACTCCGTAAGTGACAGTTTCCTCTGAGCTTATGACATTACCAATTTTAACCTTCTGTTTACAGTCACCTAAATAATCCCTGAATAAAGCAAGAGTTATGCCTCTAACACCGTGTCTTTCCAACTATCTCTCTACTCTCTCTACTCTTATCCAGAAGAGTGGAATCAGAGACCTTGTCAAACACCTTTTAAAGATCAAGGAAGACCGTGAGACTCTTGACTTGGTCATCGACTATGCTAGTGATTGCGGAGGCAAGTACCGTTACAGCATCCTCCGTTGATCTTGCCCGAGCGTACGGCGCGTAGCGTTCCACGCGCGCCTCAAAGAGCCAATAGACCACCACAGACTGGGCCCTAAAGGGCTGATGTTCAGCCGGAGTTGCGGGGTAAGCGCAATGAGGCACCGCGACCTCGGCCCAGAGTAGGAGAAGGAACAGGGCGGTTTTTAGTCAGTAAGAGTCTGAGACTCTCTTTCCCTTCACTAAAAATGGGATTCAGAACATTTTTTTAGATCGGAAAATGTAGTATTGGGTTTAGATGTTGATAAATCTAAATATTAACCAGTGTAGACTTCAATATTAGACTTATTGCGTAGAAATATACAAGTTCACGAATCCCGCCCGGCCCTGGGCGGGAGAAATCGTTTGATGCTTTTCCCCTCACAAAAAAAAATCCTTCGTTGATCTTCCTTGTCTGAACCCATATTGTAAAGACAACAAAAGGTTGAATGAAGTCGTCATTATCATAGGAAGGTTCTCCTCCTCTTGTTGACCGTTGATACACATAGTTCGGAGGGGTAATTACTTTTAATTGAAAACTTGAATTGCCGACTAACTAATCTCGCGCGGTTTCACCCGCTGCTCGTCTCTATTTGATCGTATCATGACGTTTTATAGCTTATAGCACTCAGTAACATTGTAGTTATCTATCAGTAAAAGAATTTTGGCAATTCGACCAGCGGTTCTAAAGATAACTCCTTACATACAAACTAACACACTTTCAAATTTCACCTCTTTATAATATTAGTATAGATTTCGGACATTATGGTTGATACTAGGAGATTATAAGCGCGTAATAGATGTAAAGTTATCCTTCGGTTTACACGATGACTTTTCACTTCCAGTATTAGGGGAACATACACACCAGTGAACATCAATCTTCTCTTTATTGTTTTTGAAGAAACATTAACCGCAAAAGACAGGGGTTTTGTATTTATTATTATTATTTTAAATCCCGGAGGCAATGCAGCCATAAGAGGTGCTTTTTACTTTCAAGGTGTGCGTTTGTCTAATACGACAACAGTCAACATGCAAAATTTGTTCTTAATCTAGTTGTAGGCGGGGTTTTGTTGAACCAATCAGATAGAAAGGCGTGTCTCTGAGCTTATCTTTCTTAAACCACACCTGCGCGTGCGCTGATTTGCTGTTCAATTAATAAAGGTGTACACCACACCATACCTGAAACTGACCGATTTGTTTGATAGGATGCTAGAAGCACGATTAACGTCTGCCGTACAACGCCAGAAGTGATTGGGGATATTTCCTTTAGTAATTGTGCACTCCTATTTTTTTTACAAAGTTTAATTTAAGATAGTCGTCGTTAAATAATCGAGCACAGTTCTCCACAACTGAAGGCGGACCGGGGGGAAGGGAGCAAGCAGCAAGTAATCTGTGAACTGCGGCCCTGACCCGGATCTGCAGAAGGAAATCGATGGTTTTTAGCCAGTTAAAGTCTGACACTATCTGGAAGTCATTTGAATAATAATCGGCTTAAAAAGAAGTTGCTCGAATCGCTAAGCGCCGTAAGCTCGTGTCTGGTTCTGATCGGGCCGTGAGCTACCCTTGCTCGTCATCTGCAGACCCGTGCTTACGGGAACCAGAGATCGTCACGAATCGAGGCGTAGGGGCCTCGACTGTCTCCTACGATTTTAACCTGAAAGTACTTTTTATTTTCAGTTTACTACTTATTGCTTACATTAATTATAGATAAGTTCATCAGTATAAATAGATTCGCTCGAAATACCTACTGTATTCGTTGTGTGCGCGATGACAGCGCCCCTAGTGGCCGCAACTATTCTGGACTTGTCATCTGTCAAATCATGTCAACTAGATGATAAGATATTTTTGTGGTATTTATTTTCGACAAAAAATAGTGTAAAAAGTGAGTGTGTGATATTATACCGAGCGATTTTCTTCCTCGTGACAAATATGGATATTATAATACGTACGGGATTTGAATTTTAATTCTCTTCACAGCAGCTATCCATTTTTGTATTTGCTGTAATGTCCACTTTGAAGTTGGAAACGAATAAAACTTGCACGAACTGTTTTTCCCATTGTTTTTTCAATTTACGACACAGCATGTAGTATTACCCATATCGCTTATTTTTACGTTTTTAGTTAAAAATATAAAGGAAGTTATGAAAATGAAGCAATTCGACACATGACAGTCCAGAATTAATTCACATTTCGCGCTTACGCTACGATCGATTTGCCGTTCCCGACCACCCATTTCGCACATAGCGAATATCGAATACAAAATTAAATCTTGAATTGATTTACGAATGAAAAGAGCAATAGTAGGTAGTCGCTCATTCTTTTAGTAAGTAATGTGAAGTATTACATAATTCTTATGATGCTAAAGTTGATTTTTGTACACTTGCAGTGCTTCGATACCACTATACCAGTGATAATTGAACTGTACTTATCTATGAGTTGACTTTACTGTTTTTTTATGTAATAGATCGGCAAACAAGCAGATGGATTACCTGATGGTAAGCAATCAGCGCCGCCCATTGACACCCGCAACGGAGGAGTTACGAGTGCGTTGCCGACCTCTTAGGGATTAGGGTTTTGGAGATTAAGGGATTGGGGAGGGATCGGGGGAGGGGAAGGATTTGGCCTCCGGTAACCTCACTCACACGGCGAAACCCAACGATGTGGTTGTTTCACGCCGGTTTTCTGTGAGGCCGTGGTATCACTCCGGTCGATGATGGTTTGATTGCGTCTATGTGATTGTCCCTATATATAGGTATATATGACGCTGACTGTGCGTATATGCTTAATTCGTTGAAAGGTATAGTTTTTAACTTTCGGAAAATGTATGGAATTAAGTTATATTAAAAGTAGAGTATTATATGTCGCGGTGGCCCGAAGGTTAAGGAACCCGCTTCTCATGCATGAGGGTGTGGGTTCGAAACCTGGCTAGTACCTGTGACTTTTTCCGAGTCATATGTACTTTCTATGATTATTTAGACACCACTGACATACGGTGAAGGTAAACACCGTAAGGAAACCTGGCCTTAAAATTTCTAATTACAAGTTTGAAATCGCCAACCCGCATTGAGCAAGCGTGGTGATTAATGCTCTAACCTTCTCCGTGTGAGAAAGAGGCCTTTGCTCAGCAGTGATCAGTAAAAAAAATACAATTCATACTGATAAAATCAAGACAGGTTTACTGTCGCAATTATCATAACACTTAAGATGGGTAATCTAAAATACGTGAAAACGACACAGGCTATATAACATCCAGCTATGACCAATAAAGAGCAAACGCGGAAATATATATTGCTCCCATTATTTTGACAGGCGCTTATTTTATATCAAACTAGCGGCCCGCCCCCGCTTTGCACGGGTCCAACTATCTCGCTATCAAAAGGTCACTTTTTCCTTCCCATCATCTTCTTTTTCCTTTCTATCATCCCCTCTACTTTTCTAATATTTTCTTTGATAACCTTCTCCTGACAATAACAAACGCAACAAAAAAAGAATTAGCAAAATTGGTTCAGGCGTTATTGAGTTATGCGCTTACCAACACATTTTGCGATTCATTTTTATACCTATTTATAGGTAGATGAGTTCTTTTATATTTTTGGTTCTATGGCTTTCAATTTGACTATGGCTTTAAAATTTGGACTGTTAACCGTATGTTTGCTTTCACACTGCGCTGACTCAAACATTTCAAAAAAAGTTAAAAGACATGTATTATACAATGAAACAATGAATTTATTTTTGCAAATAGGCCATAAAACGGCACTTTTACACGTCAATTTATATGTAAAAAACTAGATGAAGCCGGCATTTCCTATCTGACTACTCTGAGAAGAAATGCCGAAACAAACTCAGAGGTCAGTCTCTTTTCAAGTCCAGACAATGTAAAAATAACATAATGTGAGAGAACCGTGCAAGTTGATTCTGTAGTGGTCTTTTGATGAAAGAACCACACCAGTTTAAGTGGACCCGTTCTGAAGACAGGCACGCAAGTGTCAGTTTGCAACCAGCATAGCAAGTGCTGCTGAGTTGTCCGACGAACAATACCGATCTAAAGAACATTTGGTTGGGTCGCGCAAGTACTCAAACTGTCAGAACGCAGATAACTGGTAATCAAAAAGCACGGCAAGTCTCACACGGTCCTTACACTAACAATAATATAAAATAATAAAAATGTCAATAAATAAATAAAAAAAAATGTCAAATAAAAAATAAAATGTCACAATAGGTGATTATGTCATTGTATAAAAAATAAACGTAATGTCAAA